TGGCATTGATATTACAGGTGCCAGTATGGTTGATTGTTTAGAGAGCTATGTCAATAAAACATCTAACATTTTTATGATGGTCTTTTGTTTCTCATCCTTCAGGTTGCATTTTACATTTAAGGCATCTAATGTAATTTCTGGATATTAAACATGGACATTTACTGCCATTTCTTAGCAGATTTTTGTCATCATGACATTTGAAATAGCCCAAAACAAGCTATGTGAAGAGTTTCTTTTTTTTTGGTACAGACAAGGAGGTTGAATAGTTGTATTCAACCTCCTTGGTAAAGATAAAATCCTACGATACAAAACAAGCAATCTTTTTTTTTTTTGTGAGCCTACGGAGTAGGGTTGATGCAACTTACTAAAATTAAAAGAATGACCAAAAAAATTGACTTTGAAAATCCAATTTGATGCCCTGAAATGGCATTGGGTGCAGAAACAAGTAAGACAAACAAACTTATTTTGAAATGACTCACTGTCTAGAATAAAAAAACATATTGATAAAACAACATTCAACTTTTAGTTTAATTTGTTTTACAACACAAGGGTCAACAAATCTAATGATAAAGATTTTATTCTGAATAGCAAATATAGTCATGATAATATCTCTTGAACTTGACAATGATAACTTTTTAATGCCATGGCGAAAATGAACATAACATATTGCAAGTTGAAATGGTTAAAAGGTTAGCACTTAAAATAAGTATTTTGAAAAACAAACATTACAAAAACATGACATGTAGATTGTGAAGTACCACTAAAAATAAGTATTTTGAAAAATCAAACATTACAAAAGCATGCTGTGTAGATTGTGCAGTAAACGTAACAGCAATGAAAAGTGCCTAAAACACACAGATAGATCCCCTGTCAGTGGAAATGGTGGGAGTATGTATGGCCCAGTGTAACTTTCAAACTTAAAACACTAGTTCATTAGGCAAGGTCAGGCAGAGAGGAGACATGTTACAGTCTGAGTGTCTGTTGGAAAATGGGCTTCAAACATTAAGACATAAAGATTATAACTAACAAACAGCTGCCCCATGGATAATTTCATATCAGTTATTAAACCTCTGTAAAGACATCAATTACTTGGCTCTTGAAAGTATAATGAAGAGGAGTGGATAGGAGCTAGAATAGGATGGATAGTAGGCTAATGTGATACAAGGTTAGGCATTAACATTTAGCATCCTAACTTGCGAATACATTTGTACACCAGTTTCAATCTGGTGCATGCAAAGTGCTTACATAAATCATTTGGCCACAAGGCAAGTTCAGTCCACATGGCAAGTTCTAGCCTCCTGCGGCAGCGCAGACTTCAAGCAGGGTGGTGTTCATTTCCACATGCAGACTTTAAGAGGCAGTTTCATTTCAAAAGTAATAAAGGGGGAGGGGATTGCTCAGGTGGAGAGCTGTATCTGTGGAAAGACCTGCATCACCCACATGCACTCTCCAAGAAAGAAGCCACTGCCGTAGCCACTCATAGAAAGGAATGCTGCCCTACTAGAAGTCTGCACAGGAGGCTGCATTGGTTCTGCTTATGCAAAAATGTCATTCTCTCCCGAGAAGAGGTTGATTTCTTTAGTCCCAGGACTAGGCTTGCCGGTGAGACGAGACTTCCTGGCAGCGTGTCTCAGCCGTGTCCCGGACACAGACTGGTCTCCTGGTGCACCCTGGGAACTGCGGGGACTGGCTCTGTCTGCCAGAGTCCTCACATCTACCCGGTTGCTTGCTGGAGTGCTGGGAACCTGCTGGTCTGCAAGAGATTTAACTGCAAATCGTGAAACATTCGCAGCATTTTTATAACACCGCGAAGACATCACATTGCAAACATGTGCAACTAAGTACTACAGTATTGTACTACTGTATTGCTACCATTGCCAACAAGGTCATTTTTTTAGCATGTGTGTGTATATGTGTGTTCTTTTGCACAATAACCCAAGAAGCTATGGATGGATTGTCATGAAACATGGTATGTGGGTAGGCTTCAAATGAGACCTCAAAATTATTAGATTTTAGGCTCCCTAGCTGATTGTTACAGAACTGCAATGAAACTTTTTCATATCTCGTGATCTTAACATGCTTGCCACATCTAATACCTTGTGGTCTTGGAGAAGTGATCTTCTGGAGTCTGTTGAGTTGGTGATTTTCTACTGGGGTAGATTTTGGTGTTGCAAACTTTGGTGTGCATGGAACAGGCCTCATCCCTGAAGTGGTGTTGAAAAAAATGATATAATAACATGAATCATCAACGTCATGGATTGTTCGAATTGCATGTAATGGTAAAAAAGCAATAAACATTAATATCGATTTGCAATGCAGATTTTTTTCAAGACACTTATCAATTATCTTTGATCGATTAGTAACTCATGTCAGTAACTTCTCACTTTCTTTATAACGCTTTTCTTTCTTTCTCTTTCTTTACAGCTCTACTCAACAACTCTGTAGAATTTAGTTACATTAGATAACGTTAGATGCCACCTAACGAATATGTTTGGAAACGCCAAATATAATGAATACGGCATCACTGTAGAGTGTAGACTGCTGCCGGATGGAATTTCATTTGTTGATAACATTCTACATCTAAATTAATATGTACGCACGTGGAATGGCGAAAGGGCTGTCCACTGCATCTGGAACCTTCCGACGCAGGTGGTCAACATCAGGCACGTGCCTAGACGGAGGCACGGCCTTGGTCACCAAAAATGGCGAACATGGCACGTACTGGAAGGGTGAACTGGCACAGTCCTCGCCTGCCATCTTCCAACTACACAAGAAGAACCTTGAGATCTTCAATTCTCTGCAAACAGAAGACTTTAAATCCAGACTTCTGGTAAAATACAAGACAGTCAGTCTATTCCAATACTACTCAATATTGTGCATAAACCAAAACTTTTGAGCCAATCACCGAACATTTAACATTTTTCAAACCAATCAGGTAGAAGATAACAAACTCTCTTGGTCGGGCACAGGTGAACATCCGGGTCCTGCCTGATGCATGCTGGGAAGTTGTATTTCCCGGGCCTTGTTCGAAACTTTTATTTTAGAGGACAGAAACGCTGTGTGGCTGCTTCTGGTGGTTTTCAGGTACTTTTGACAGAAATTTTGATATAATAGCTCGTATTCTTCTGTATAGAGACGTCAGAAGTAGACTTCTGTGGGGTGGTAAACTGCAGAAAGGGTAGCATCGACGGGGTTTGTTTTGGTCGCCATTTCCCGCCATCACACGCCCATTCTTACCTTTTGTAAGCCAAGGAGGCTTGTATTTAACCTCCTTGTCTATTAAAAAGCAAGGCCTTTCTAGTAAAATAATACTTTTGATGACTTTATCTCGCTAAGCTAAGCTAAGAGTTACAAGCCTTAAGTAGACCAAGCTCCAATCAATCATTTAATCAATCAATCCACTTCATATCTGTTAATTTTACGCTCAGTAGAAATCATATCATTTTCTTGATTTTTAATGATAGTGGTATTTTTATCATTTGCTAGGGAATCATCATTAAGAGCCACGATGGTGAAACAAAGGCAGAGTACTGTCAAGACCTACTCAAGGAAAATCCCAGTAACAAGGATTGAAGACCACAGGGAGAGTCCAGTGTTCCCACAACTGTGTAGGAGCAACCCTTTCAGTGATGAGGGTATGTATGTGTTTCCTAACCATCTTCTCATGCCAGGCATATACTGTAAATCACTTTACATTCGCGATACTTTTATATTCGCCGATTTCACGGTCACTTCTGTATTGCAAATTTATCATTAGTGCAAACCAATAATTCGATGACTTTCTTTCTTTTGCACCTGTCGCCAGTGCATATACTTCCGTGAACATGTCCATTTTTCGCAGACCAGGACAGAACAGGAACACGTACATGTACATGAACAACAGAAATGAGAAATTGTTATATATACAGTAATGGTTAAATGTTCTCTCTTACAAATAAATGTAGGTAAGTAGAGCCATGAAAGAGTTCGAGAAAGGCTTGCTTCTGCTATTCATATGTTTTGCCTTCATTTGTCTAAAAGTGTATACTTTTTTGTTTTTATCTGTCTTTGAACAGAGGATCAGCTGATACCATCAGGCAAGAAGAAACAACTTGTAGCAGAGCCACAGTCCCACAGCTGTCAGCATAAATGTTCTGTGGAAACCTTACAAACTCCGTCAAAGGACAGACTCTGTGGAGACCAAGAAGGCCCTAAGCAACATGAAAGGTCCTCCTCCCACGACTCAGACACAAAATCCATCTGTGGACCACTGCCTGTCATCAAAGGAAAGTAAGTCTTTGTTTCATACAAATCTTCTATATCTAGCTGGTATATTGACGGTGAGGTTGGACATCAGGGTAATAAGAAATGCCAAAAAGAGTTACTGAAGCAACTGGCTGAAGAAGGGAAGATGGTGGGCCCTGACAAAACTAGTTGGCTCTACACATCATGTGCAAGAGGAGTGAGTGAGTGAGTGAGTGAGTGAGTGAGTGAGTGAGTGAGTGAGTGAGTGAGTGAGTGAGTGAGTGAGTGAGTGAGTGAGTGAGTGAGTGAGTGAAGCAATTGGATATGATTTTGGAAAACACCAAATTTAGTGCTGATGCCACTACTGCAGCAGGTTCCACTCTGCAATTAAATTCCAGGAAAATCTTGTTTTGGATTTCAATTGCAGGGTGCATGTTGCCTTTAGAATCAGTTGTAACTACTACAATGATAGGCGTCAACAAAAATATTTGATATCTGGTCAACCAGAACATAGGGCTCTTAGACTTAAGTTAGTTAGAGTTGCCCTTATTAAATCTGACCTGTTGACCTACAGGAGGATAACTCATGCCTCTTGGAAACTGGCTGGACTTCTCGGTAAGAAGAAGTGGCCATTGTTTTTCCAGAAAACCAGAACTGGAACTCCAGTTGCAGCTGGTATGTTCTTTCATATCAGTAAAAGTCTGTCTGGCTTTATATGGTGTAAGTTCACCTTGAAGTTCATGTGTATGTTAGTTCTGACAGTTGTCAAAATATCAACACCATCTACAAAATAATAGAGCAAAGAATCTGTTTTTCCTTGAAGCCCTTTGAAGACTTTTGAGCAGTTTTACATTGATTAAGATGTTCTTTTGATGTTTTTTTTTTAATACTGTTAAATACTGTATAGAATATTTTCAATTGTGTTGTGTCCTTTGTAGGGAAACATCAGCAGTGGATAAAGAGGCCCAAAAGTGAAGAAAGAAATCAAGAGGTACATGTGGTCCACTTTGTAACTGTGTGTTACAGTATGTTTGTCACCATTCAGATAGATTGAAAAAATTGTAGGAATTACAGTCTGCCAAGTACACATGTTGTGTTTGCTCCATAGCTTTTTTAAACATTTACCTAATATTTTATATTTTATTTTACCTTTAGGACCCAGAGAACATGTCCTTAGGAGATGACAGTGTTTTTGTGAGGGAAGGAGAACACCTTGAGGAGGAGGATAGCTCTGAGGACATATCATCTGGTACAACTTTCAACTTGTATGAAAGTGTCAGACATAGGAAGGGTTTGTAGTATTTTCCTGTCGGTGCTGTTCTGGTATCAGAATACATATGCTTAATTGATGTCCTCATTGTTGCTTAAAATTGATTCAAATTCCAGCACTAAACTGTACGTGTGTTAGGGGCTATTACCTGAGGAAAAACTTGTTTCTGTTACCTACTCTTGTCAGACAATTCTATCAATTAACCCTCTCCCTGCTACCCAACACAAAAACTTGTAGAAAATTGGTAGTCAAATAGCTACTTAGTACCCTTAAGGTTAAAAGGCATGGCCTTTAAATCAAATACGTTATTTTCCAATTATAGCGGCTTTGTTTGTTGAACAATCAGCGATACTTTTCCAGCTATTGCAGACTGCTAAATTTGAAAGTGAAACTCCAAGTTAACAGTTACAATATACATGTACTTTCCATGCTGAAATTTCCCTCTGGTCTTAATAGAAGAAAGTGATACCAGCGAGAGTGAAAGTGAAAGTGAGAGTGACAGCCAGTCTGATACAGAGGTGCTGAGAGAGACTGAATCAGATGCAATCACAGGTACTGGTGTATCATCTTCGGCTTTATATCTATGTTCCATATATTGACAGCATAGAAATGATGAGTGATATTTACGAAAAAATTAGCATGTTGTCTACCTTTTGTTGAAAGAATACATATTGCCTTCATTCAAGATGTATACAGATCAGACATTGATGATCATGCAACAATCTTCTCCTAGAAGGTCACCATTTTCATCTTCTTCTATCACAGATTTTGTGATATCTTTTATTCAAATCAAGATAGTACTTCTGTTGTTGTTTTGTTTATGTAGCAGAGTTGCAGCAGTTCAAGATAAAGAGTCAGTTGTCTCCAGACTGGCCAGGGAAGCAGAAGTCGGCAGATCTCTCTAAAACTGCACCTACAGAGGTTCAAGGTAGTGTGCTGACAATTTTTTCACAGTCACCAAGAGGGTTACATTTTCGGTTTGAGGCTTTTTGAAAAGCATAACCCAAGATTCTGTGAATGGACCCCTATGATATGTGGGTACAATGATGTACGTATCAGCAAAACAAAGAACAAGGTTGATTATTGGCCCCCTGGTAACTTTTTATGGTACGACAGCAGAACTTCTGGTTTTGACATTGCTAGACATGCAGTGGTGATTTGATTTTTTTTTGGTGGCAGGTAGCTCTCAGGAAGAAGTGATATAGACTTTAGCCCCCTAGCAGTGTGTTTGGGGAACTGCAGCAGTACTTTTTGTTTGAGAGTTTTGTATCTCCTAACCTGAATAAGCCATATGTTCCTGTCCTGATTGTGTATGTGTTTGTTGAACTTTTCAGGTCAGAAGCTAACATTGTACCACAGGTCCCTTCCAAAGGAGGTATATGTCAGCAACAAGTTTCACCTAGTGGAGACGCAACAGTCAGGTGTCTAGCACAGACATGGTTTTAATGTCTTATTCTTACAGCTGTTGTGTTGTGCAGAAGCATTAATAGTTCCCTTAACAGTTTTGGGACACCTAACAATCGCTATGTTAAGTTTTCCAGTGGAGAATTTTGTATAGGCTCCAGTTAACCGATGTTCAGCACCAAGGACAGAGCTAACATGCCTCTCCAAAGGGCTTTTGTAGCTGCTCTAATAATGCACATTTGTTGAAAAGGCAAAGATTCCAAACGTAAGGTTGCATCATAAGATGGAATTTCAGCACCATGAAAAGCTCAAATATCTTGTGGTTTTGTAACCACGATTGGATCCTTGGTTCTTTTATTTTTTTAATGCTGGATATTGTAAATGTTGCTGAGTTTTTATCTTCTTTTGACAGGAAAGCCATTTCCAAAAGTTTACCAGGGAAGGTGAGACAAATTTGTATGTCAGACTTTTATGGAGTTTATTTTGCATCTGGCTTTGTGGTATTTTGCTTACTTTGATAAAACCAGTCCATAGTGTCTAGAATATCATATTATGCAAGTTATAGATTACATTAAGTTGGCTATTTGTTGTGTTTACAGGAAAAATAGACAGAAATCGGTAGCAGAAACAAGTAGACCATTCACCTCATACGGTATGTGAAAATCTTCTTGTGTCAAATAACATACCATACATTATGTAGCAAGTAGCAGGATAGAGTTGGAGGGACTGGTCACCTTATATATATATATCAATGTGTTTGAGTAAGAATAAACAGAGCAGTAGTTTGTGAAAGCATTATGCATACAGTCAAACCTGTACTAGCGGTCACCTTTGTATAGTGGTCACTCGGCCATAGCGGTCAGTTTTTGCCGGTCCCTTGAATTTTTCCCATTGACGTAAGCATTAAGAATCGTGTCTATAGCGGTCACTGTTCAACGCGGTCAGCGGTCACCCCATTCCGGTCCCGCCGGCATGTCAACACCGCCGATAGCGGTCGCGGCTGGCCGTAACCCGCTAAGCACCACGGCCGTAACACCACCCCACCTCGGGCTACGACCGTTATGAGCCTTGTGATAATTTTCCGATCGCTACATTACTAAAATGTGAACTGAAAATTAAACTCCATATGTGTATGAAATAAAGGAAAACTGGCTTTTGACACGAAGTTTCTACGGTCGCGGGTGTCTTTGATATCTGCGTTTTCCCCAACACCAGTGCCGTGCGTGCCGCGCATGGAGCTATGGACTCGGCCGCTCGGCGAAGATTACGGCAATTATCTTTACAAAAAAACTTAAGAATATCCATATTTGGTTTCTCGATTCCTTGAAATGCGTAGATATGTGCATAGCTTCCGTTTTTCATGAGCATAATTCAAGAAATTTGGCTCGAAAATGCGTTTCGTATTTTTCCAAGATGGCGCATGTTAGCTGCAGAGGGAGGTCAATTGGGGTCATCGGAAGACTACACTGTTATGGAGGTAGATACACCGAGTTTTATTTAACTTTATTAGCGTCAAATGATGTAATTACATTATGAAAACATTTGAAATACATTACTAAAAGTAATGTAAGATGTAAATTTAACACTGTAGTGGATATTTTAGAAAAGATATAAGGTCTGAAAGGAGAAAATTTTCTGTTGACTACCACATTGGCATAATGGTA